CAAGTCCTATTTAACTACTGTGGTTATGAATCATGCCTTATGACCAGTTTTTATTTATTAACACCCAGAGATGTGTGACTAATATCACTATTGATAATGCTTAGTTACTGGCTAAAACCAAAACTCTGAGCTGGGTCATAAAATACCAGCTTAATCACTGCCTTGTTTTTATTTTTTTATTTTTTCATTTTTTCTGGATAGAAAATAAATACCAGTCTCTAGGACATTCACAAAAAGCTTTTCTTATCATTGTGTTTTAATGCCCTGGTTTGATAAATGTCAAGAATTTTAAAATGTGAACAAATATTGGCTATGAAAATGTTGAAGAGGGCTGGAGAGATGGCTCAGTGGTTAAGAGCACTGCCTGCTCTTCCAGAGGTCCTGAGTTCAATTCCCAGCAACCACATGGTGGCTCACAACCATCTGTAATGGGATGTAATGCCCTCTTCTGGTGTGTCTGAAGACAGCTACAGTGTACTCGTGTGCATAAAATAAATAAATCTTTAAAAAAACAAAACCAAAAAAAGAAAATGTTGAAGAGAAAGATGGAGTAATAATCTTTGAAGCTGCCATAACTAAGGACCAAACGTATAAAGGTGGCATTTAGAATGAATGGTCCATAAGAATCAACCATAACATTTTTACATTACTTTAGACCTAATTCTTCCTTGTAGGGAAGCACTATTTTAACATTTGCCCATATATAATCCATTCCCTACGGTTACTAGCCTTAGGACATGCTGCCTTCCAAAATAATCAACTCACAGTAGTGCTTAATAACTATTAATAATATACACCATTTTAGATTATAAAGAATGTCCACAAGTATTGTAGTGACAGTAGATCCTCTCTAACTCTGTGTGAAATTTTCGAGGAAGGCACCATAACAATCAGTATTTTTCACATTGATTCAGAAAGTGCCATTATTATGAAGAAGAGTAGGACATGGAGCTGCTGATGTCAAATCCTGAGCTCTCTGAACTGTGACAAATCTGGATATACAGAGTTAGGTAGAATGTCTGAATACAGACATACTGATTTACACTTGCAAGTTTTATGTGCAAGGGTATCTATTCAAAGCCTAAATCCCCGTTTGTAATGTCAACATATCTTGACTTAACTGCCTTTTTCCCCAAACATCCTAGGAGAACTCTGTCTTGCTGAAGCAATCACTCTGTGTCTTCGGTGACTGTCATTCCTCAGGGGGACTTTGAACTCCTATCTTCCTGACTCTCCTAATTGACTGTCCTTGATTGGAGTCTCAGTTGACTGGGACTTTCTACAGTGCTTGTGACTGGTTCTTTGCTATTTTGTTTTTTTATTTGTTCCTTCTCTCAACTCCATTCTCAAGAAGGTTATTTTTGCCTTCCCAGTAACCTCATTAATGCAGGATGGTGACAGATAAGGAGAGAACAGTTATCAACATGGAGCAATCCAGTTCACCAGGGCTCCTCCTCATTCTTTCCAGTTGCTTTTTCTGGAGAATCACAAACAGTTTTTAAGAAAACTCTTTGAACAGAAAGTTCGTTCTCCATTAATCTCACCAATATTAGGCTCCTTAACTAGAATAAACAACTGTGGTGCACATGATGCATGGCTACCCTTGTACTTTAAATTTTTTGCCTTATATAGTCAATCCCAACTCAAATCTTGACTGAAAAATTCTTTCAGGGGGAAACAGCATCTTGCCACTTAATTTTTTAAAAATGTTTTCACTTGTTAACTAAACTTAATTGTTCTTATAAAACTCATCAAGAGATACATGTATTCTCAGAATAGTAGTTGCCTTGTCCTTTCATGTACTCTACATGCCCCAAATTGACACATTTTCTAGATAATAAGATGGATTGAGATAGTAAGAAAAACTGAGGACTGAGGACTATCCCATCACAGGTGAAGAATGCTGGCAAATTAGCAAGAGGGTGCTCTCTCTCCTGTACTTCCTTTCTACTCAGAAGCCTTCTTCTGCAAAGGTCTGTTTAAGAGAAGACCATTGCCACAAGTAGAGAAGAACTGAGAGCAGATGAAAATGAAAGGACCAGTTGGTCTCTAGGTATGTTTGTAGAAATTAACTCAAGGTTTGTATATGACAGCCAAACCTCCTCCTTCTCAGGAAAAAAAAAAAAAGATTTTGTTGTTTCTGCTGTGACCTTGGAAGTGCAAAGTAAAAGAAAATTGATTGTCCTTCTCCCACTTGGCATAGACCACCACCATGAGAAGAATGGTGGACACACACAACATGGAGCCTCTAGGGAGCTGACCATGCCACTCCACAGGGTCAGGCAGCAGCACAGAAGTGCTGTGTCACATATGCCTGTACATCTTACTTTGAAAGACTGAAGAACCATTGGTAATATCAATCACTTAATTCCTCCTGTTACTGAAAAATCTAAATTACTGTCACCATTCAATTCTTCAGATTAACCTGCACTGCATGTTTCCTAATATTTGAAGACTCTTGGAACGTCTACTGAATTCCAGAGTGTGGAGAATGGTTCATTTTGTGCTGACTGAACTGGATGTCCTTGCTCTGACATTCCTTGCTTTCCCTGTCACTGAGGAACCTGTGGTACAGCAAGCATTTGCTGCCCCAGGTTGCCTCTCTGGTGTGATCTCATAGCTGACTCTCCTAACTAAATTTCAAAAGTAAGAACATTTTATTTGAAGATATCGCTACAGTGTCTTCATATAAAAGTATCATCATAAAATTGTCTGTTTAGCCAGGAGAAGAAATGTCAAAAAGAAATCTTGTGAGAGGATTCAGTCTAGTACACGCAAATACGTGCAGATCCTTTCACAACATATGACACGGCTCATAAAATCAGTTACACTCATTTCTCTAACTAAGAGAGACATCCTGAAGTCAAGCTTGATTAAAAAGAAATTATTTAAAGGCGATTGACTGTGCCATGGAATTTTGTTACACTGACCAAATTATGAGCTCTCCTGTGCAAAATCAAATGAGGCAGTTTGGAAAACATCCTGATACTGAGCTATCAAAAACCAAGTGTGCCTGAAGTATAAAGGTTAATAGAAGGCTTAACAGGACAGCAGCATGTCGAAACCAAGAGCCTATCCATTGGTCTTCTTTCTTCTCTACATTTTTATTCAGTTATCCAGCACAAAAAAAAAAAAAAGGAAAAAAGAAAAACTATGGCAAAGTTGAAGCTAGAAGGGAGAAAAACAAGCCCTGTATCCGTCCATGACTCATGTGTCCCTTTGCCTACATTCCATCCTTCCTCATTACCTAATGTTACCTTTCCTTGCTCTGCTTTCTAAATCTTACACTACACCTATAGCTAACCACGCTTGCTCGATGTTTACACGCACATGGTACAGGTATTATAGGATCCAGATTTCAGAATGAACACACAGTGCTTTCTTGAATGAGTTTGGTTCACAACACTTAACAGTGTACTTCCCAAGTCCATACATTTGCATGCAGATTGTGTGACTTCGTTTTTCTCATGAAATCAATATGAAGAGCTGTAGCCTTCATATGTAGTGACAGTGTACACTCAGAAAAAGAAATGAGGAAGAAATAACTCATTCATAATATCTCTAGGATAAATAACTCTCAGAAGAAACAGAACCAAATTATTTCTTTCTGACACCCTCATTTCTCCATATTCCACGCGTCACATTTTACACTTTGATGTATTTGGTTACAACTTCTTAGAAATAGAGGCCTTGCTACCCATCATAATATAGGGTCCCAAATCAAAAGGCATGTGCTAATGCAGGACACTGCTTCCTAAAGATGTTACAAATGTATGTGTTTATGTACTTAATACATTTTTGGAACCTAGTACTTATGTTACAAGAACATTATTTAAATCAAGAAGATATTCATAATTTTAAGTATTAAGACGAGAAATTTCTACAGTCACCATTACATTTACTGCTGTCCAATAAAAAGACAAAAAGGCCAATTATGTCATACAAAACTCAGACCTTCTGGTTCTGCCCTCTGCTGAAAAGTCTATCTTGTATTCAGAAGCGCAGGTTCTGTTCTTTACATAGTGAAAGACAATTTAAAAGCTTACTCGGTTGAATAAAATGGCTCTTATGTAATCCGTATTATTGCATCTGTTCTCTGTCTTAATTGGTGGTGGTAATGAATACTTCATTCCCAATAATTTATTCCAAATTCCTTTTAAGTCAACAAAATCACTTCCTCTTAAAACAGAATTTGCTCCTTATTTGTTTGGTGACAGGAGGGCTCATGATTGGTTTTGACTGGTCCTGATGCAAAACCTATCTTTTGATCATTTATTTATGAATATGATGTAGCTGTGTGCAGAATAAAAAAAACAGTCAGCTAGACATTCAGTAAAAATAGATGAATGCACACTTAAAAGAAACGGCTAGTGCATAGTAATATTTAATCAGTATAAGTCAATTTACCATGATTGCCAATAAACTACTTTATTTTGCCACACATTAAAATATTCTAATAACCAACTCAGTGTGAAGGCTAGTTTGTATTATTTGTTAGTCATTTTAATTACATGGGGATGATATCATTTTTTCCTCAGTAATTTTCTCCTCTCAATCTCATTATAAAGAAAGCAAACAAAACACCCAAAAACAACGACGGCAGCAGCAACAAAGTGTATCTCTACTTTTAAAGCCTGATCCATATACCTCCCATAATGCAAGTGGTGGTATTTCAATACCTCCATCTCATTCGGTGGATTTAGCCTTTCCAGCTATTAGCATCTGCGCCCCACCTTCTCAGTTCTGCACAGCGGTGAGTGAACTTCTCCAGAATAAGATCTGATATTTCTAGGGCAAAAATAACACCTCCAAGTTGGCACTTGATTTAACACTTTTTCCAGATGAGGTATGATATGTTAACTCGAGGTGCTTACAATCATGGTAAGGGTTGCAATATGTTTCAGGTGCACTTTCGGGGTCCTAGGGGGATCGTGAACCCGTGTTAAGTGACTTTCCATTTGGGCATATTCCTAACAAAAGGATAAGGAGAGGTAACCTACCTTTATGTGACAGGCGTAGCCTGGGGTAGGAGGGGTTCGCGGTGTGACCTGGGGTCCAGAGCTCCAGCAGGTAACCCCAGAGCAGCAAGGTGAAGATGTGTCCGGCCGGTGCCATGGTGCGTGCTGACTCTCTTCTGGCCCCTGCAGCGACACTTTAAGACGCGATTGAGTTTTACTTAGTACTTCCCTCCAGGGGCAACTGCGGGCGACAGGCTTTGTCACAAACAGAAGGGGCTGTCATCAGAAAATACCATTCCCAAGTGCCATTTGCCCGGCAATATTTGGATTCTCAAAGCCTTTCTGTCCTGGGAACCGGTGGGTTAGAAGCGCGTAGCAAGAGGGCATTCCAAGGAGCGCGTCTGGAGAGCCGGGTCCCGGCTGGAGCTGTCGCCGTCACCAAGCTGCGGAGTGAGGAGGAGGCTGTGGCTAGCTTCAGTCTCCCCGCCAGCTATTCATTGAGAAAACAGCCGGAGCAGAGCAGCAGCCTCCCCCAGCTCTTCCCCCAGCCTCCCCGCAAGCCTCCCAGAAGTCAGCCTCCTGCACTGACTTGCCGAGCAGCTAGTTCGTATTCGCCTCTCCTCTCGATAATTAAAAGCAAGAAGTGCCACTTGCGCCAGGAGCGCAGGATCCACCCAGTGGGGATGCCGCCTGTCAGCGCTCTGTTTACAGGAAAGTTCAGGCAGGGTTGAGCCCGCGCGCGTTTCTAGGAAGTGTCTCCAGCCCACGTGCCTCGCCGCATCTCCCGGGCTCTGACCCGCCCTCCAGCCTAGGGAGACAGGTCCTCACCCTGACGGGGCGGGGCCAGGAAGACCTGCAGAATACTCCGATTAAACGAGCTTGTGAAAGGCTAAGACCGTGGCCTCGGGAAGGATTTCAAATTGCTCATTCACCAAGAGAGATCTTTGAATAAGCCCACCGTCTAAATCTGTCAGTAGTATCCAGGAGCCAAATTAATTTGTTCACTGTTTCCACAGAACCTTGTTCACAATTCAAGCTTTCTGTATTTTCCGTCTTAGAAATGTTACTTTTGACTCTGTTGAGGAAAGTGGATATTTCAAGAGCCTGCGAGGGAAATGTCATTTTTCCATCGTTTCATAAATGAGTTAGTATGAAAGAAAATATCTGCCGTAGATTCATATTCCTAAAGCAAAAACACATATATCTCACCTCACATTTTAAAAAGATTAAAGGTCAAGGTATTGGTCTTCTGAGACTGTGGGTAAAGTTGAGCCTCTCTACCTGGTGGGTCTGGGTAAAGCAAGCATTAAAGAACACAGGATGTGAAGTACCTTGGAAGTCAGTGTTGTGCACTTTCAGAGTTTATTTTCATGACACCATGTTTATGTAAATAAACTTAACACAATAGGTCAGCTTTTCAATCAGTTTCAAAAACTAAACCAAACATTCTAGAGCTGCCGGAATGGAAATAAATTGTATTATTTCAAGATAGTAATAAGCTGTAATAGCTGTTTGGTCTGACAGCTGACAGCTAAATAGTAAACAAACGACGTCAGCTATGGTGACTTTTTCTCCTTGTTCTTTATTATATATAGCAATGGCTGTGGATAGGTTGTCAGAATTATGTGCTTAAAATCATGTGATTATAACAAAAAGATATCTTAGGTCATTCCAATAACCTACATTCTATATAAGCAAGAAGTCCAACCAGGCATTCTTTACCCCTTTTTAGAGGATGGCATGTCCTTATACAAGTAGAGTATTTTTAGCAAAATGTAAAAGTTTACTAGAGATTATAAATAATTAGATTTTCAAAGTTCACAAAAGATAACAAACTCTAAACATTACTTAACACTGGAGTACCATGAAGCATGTAGACTTTTAACATGGAGTAGTCTTTGTAGGCACTTCACATGCTAAAAGCCAGGCAGATGAGCTACAGACCTCACTGTGACACACTGTAACTTCACAATCACTTCACTCTGTTCCAGAATCCAAGTAACTAGAACATAGATAACAACTTTATCAGCCTTATCTAAAGGCAAAGAACGTAAATGTAGGGTCTGTGCATTAATTACTAAAATTAATACCCTTATTCAACTGACATCTACCCAAGACTACAGTGTCTGTTCTGGGCCTGCTATGGGGTTAAAGCAAGACCATCATAGCTATTTCATTAAGACTCCAGGTAAATGGGAGAATAAATACTATTGGTGCTAAAATTTCTCATTCCCTCAAAGTGGGTATAGGGCAAGTTCAAAGCGTCTACCACAATAATCCATTCCTTTGAACACCGCAACATGTGCTCTGTTTTATTCTTTTCGTGTTTGTATTGTGTGCTCCTTCTAATTCTCTCTATGGCCATTTACCTTTCTGTGTGTGTTATAGGAAACATACAAGAAATGTGAAATAAATTAATAATTAAAATGACTGTTAAACTAAACATCCAGTACTCTGAAGCTCTCAACTTCCTCCATGTGTTTTTACACAATCCTTTGGAATAGTCTTTGAGACAAAATTGGCCATTCACATTGTGAAAGAAACTAAGAATAATTAGTTTCAGAAAATAAGAATTCAGAAGTGGGTTTGCCATTCAGATTCTCGTTTCAGTATGACATTTTGGGCAGTGGATTTTTTAAAAGTAATTATGCACAATCCAAGAATAATATAGACATACCAGGGATATGAAAGGCACAATACTTGGAAAGAATCTCATGTACTATGGAAAATTCTGAAATTGAAAAAATAAAATAAATTCAATAGTAAGTAAAGTGTCCCTGTGAATTATGGGTCTTTTGGATGAACAGCAGTATTTGAGGATTCCATGTTTGATTGAAGATGCTTTAGGTTGTCAGTCTGAGCAATATAAAGATGTGGGAGAAGAAAACACGGAACTGTAGATGTGCCTTGTATTAACCTGATGTAGGTGTAGTCTTGGGGGCTTACTTCTGAGTAAGCTCACCCTTTCTAGTTCATGCTGAACTCTGGATAACTGGATCAATCCAGCTCTTCTGGCTCAGGCTCCTTTCCAAGCTGATTGATTCAATCTGGCTTCTCTCAGCTTCTTACCGAATTGCTCTGCTTAGCCTCAAATTAACTTTGGCAATACTTTCTAATCTTCTGGCTCCTTATTATCTGGTTTCAACTGCCTTTGCTGACCTGAACTGAACTGCATGACCTCAGGAATAAACTCCACTCCACTGCACTACACTCACTGCACTGACTCCCCACTGACTCACCCTTCTTCCTGTGCTGCTCTTAAATAGCTTCTCTTTCCTGTGCTTTCCTGGTGTGAGTTGAGTATATCTTATCTCTGACTCATTCTGTCAAATCTTTCTCTGATTCATCACTTTGTCTGCCCCTCAATTAGACATTGATTTCAAACCTGGATGCATCCTTCTTCAAATTAACTTTATCTTTATTGTTTGGAATTAAAGGTGTGTGCTAAGGGTTTGTTTATATCCATGCAGAAGGATTAAAAATGTTTTTTTCAGGCAAATCACACAGACCAAGAAGGTATTTGGATGTAGTTCCTTGCCAGAGCAGCCATGTTGCTACAGGTAACCAATGCCAGTAATAAAGTTATTCTTGTCAAGTAATAGGCCTCATTCTAAATCTCCCATTTGTGGTAATCTTGTTTTTTGTTTGTTTGGTTCATTAGTTTGTTTTGTTTTGTTTAGACAAAATTTCTTTGTGTGGCCTTGGTTGTTCTAGATTAGCTCTGTAGACCAGGCTGATGTTGAATTCAGAGATCTTCTTGCCTTTGTCTCCTCAGTGCTAAGATTAAAGGATAAATTACCACTACCTGGCAATGTTATTCTTATTGTATGAAGAACAACCTCAAACTGAAAATAAGGGATAGAGTTAGGGTATGGGAATTAAGATCATTAGATCCAGCTCCCTCCAAAGTGTGTTCATGTAGATAGGTCAATCACTGGACTCCAGTCTTATGAGCAGAAGAGCAACTGACCTCTAACACAGTCCTTCACAGAGGTAGTCTTTGCCCATCTTGTGAATCATGTGGAATATCTGTTAAAAAAACAGATTCCTATGTCACACCCAGGCTTTGAATTTTGTTGAAGTCTTACATATTAACCTTGATTTACAGAAATTCCCTTCATTAGGATTATCTAAACACTAGACATCGAGATGTTTCACTAAGCATTTGTATTTTTATAGCATAGGTAATTTAAATCCAACAACTTTGTATAAAATAAAACAATTACCTTATAGTATTGATGACCTACTAAGATCTTCAAAATATAGGCCAAACCAAATACAAGTTGAGAACTGGTACATCTGCACAGTTTAAAATTATGGTATGGGATCTAGAGAGATGATTCAGCAATTAAGATCAGTGGTTGCTCTTCCAGAGGTCCTGAGTTCAATCCCCAGCAACCACATGGTGGTTCACAACATCTGTAATGGGATCTGATGCCCTCTTCTGTTGTGTCTGAAGACAGCTACAGTGTACTCATATACATGAAATATTAAATAAATAAATAAATAAATAAATAAATCTTTAAAAAGAAGAAGTATCTTATGCACTTTGGGAGACTATACTTTGTCAATGCAACCAAGAATTTCCATCCTTCTTTCTGGACATAATGAACGACAATCTACCTAGTCTCTGGGTAATTTGTGAAAACATTTGCCTAATTCTGACCAGAGAAATGTAAGCAGAAGTGATAGGTATTATATCAAGCTTGAGACAGCGGAACAGGCACTCCCAGAAAACTCTGCTTTCTTGGGTCTTTTTTTGTGACAAGCGTGGAGGACTAAACAGTGAAGGCTGGGGCAGGAAACTGAAGCATCTTGGATTATTGAGTCATCATATTGGAGGCAGTTTCCTGAGAAAGTTACTCAGAAACACAGCAGATGCTATTTGAGCAGGGATCAAAAACTTATGCTAAGCTTTTTAAAACAATTTTGTACCATATCATAGCACAAACTCCCTTGGCTAAATATGTATATGGTTTACCTACTCCTTTGGTAATCATGCTTGCAGGCAATTCATCAGAAAGCCCTCATCTTCCTTTGCTGTCACTGACGTCAGCAGAGGTCACCAGTAAAGCCAGAGTGTGGTATGGATACTTGGAGACTAGGTAAGAGATGAAGTGATTTACGGAGTCTCTCTTAGAACGCTGGGATGTGTCTTCAGCTTTTCCAGTTGAATCCTGTATTCAGAAATAATGCCGTAAACACTATTCATCCATGAACAACATGGAACCACACCTCAAGAACATCATGATTAAAGCTATTAATAGACACTCTAGTATCACAATAGCAATGGTATTGAGCCTTTTCAGAACTAAAGATAAAATTTCATTATGGTAGCCATGGAATTTGGGCTTCACTAATCCCTCTTCTACTTGTGCTAGCCCGGCTATGCCAAGGATCTCCAGTGCAGAGCATCTCAAGTGTCCCATCGACGATGCAGCTGCTGCTCCCCACTGCCGAGGCTAAATTTTACACTCTAATATTGGCCTTTCATTTACGCTGCCTTGTCTCACAAGATGTGCAACTACATTACCTATCTCCCCCATTTTGTCACTTAACATGTAAAGGACAAATAGACGCCTGAATTCCTCTCTGTTGTGTGCTTCTGTTGGTGGTAGACAAAAAGACAAGACACCAATTAATCCCACTCAGGGCCCGATCTACTCACCTGTCTGAACAAAGTTGACTGGTATCATTCTAATGTCACCATTTAAATGAAAAGTCAGTATGTCAGCCTTTATTGAATCTAATCATTC